ACTCACCTCAGCCTCCCAAAGGCGCAGGATTACAGGCTGAGCCACCGAGCCCAGCTAGTTGTCATATTTCATTAGTGTCCTTCTGGTTGTGACAGTTTCTCAGATTTACCTTGTTTTTGATGACCTTGACAGTTTTGAGAAGTATTGGTCAGGTATTTCGCGGGATATTTCTAAGTTGGGATTTGTCTGTTTTTTCCCCCAATGATTATGCTGGGGTTATGGAATTTTGGGGATGGAATGTAACATAGGTAAAAAGCATTATTCTCAACACATTATATCAAAGGTACATGCTACCTACATGACTGTCTCAGTGTATTTGTGTTACTATAACAAAATGTCTGAGATTGAATAATTTATAAACAGAAATGCATGGGACAGTCTTAAGGAGTTGATTCAATGACTGCCCAGGGTTTGGTAAAAAGTATCCGTTCATTGTTATTTTGAGACCCAACTTCATCTCTCAAAGCCTCAGTTTCTCCATTTCGCAAAATGGAAATGTGATGAGTACCAGGTCGGTGTGGGTGGCAGGATTTACTGTTGTGAGTCTCCAGGTCAGAGCAAGTTGCCCATCAGGCAGCCCAGGGATCCCCCCTCTAGCCCCTGTAACTTGGCCCCAGGTACTCCTAACCTTGAGCAGGACCTCTGAATTTTCCATGTCTTTTTCCAATTTTCTCTTCATGTTCTTTAGCTCATCTTTCTCCCATGTAAGCATGCTGTCAGCTTTGTCAGGAACCTAGGAAACAAGGAGAGAATCTCTCACATCCTCAGGAAAGGGCTGAAAAGAGAGCTTTCTCTTTCTGGGGTAGTAGAGGGCTTGCCAACCTCATGGACTCTGAAGTTTGAAGTTGGGAGTATGCTAATCCACTGTCTGAGAAGGCTTAATCTTTGCAGGGGGTTCTATCACTTGAGTGTGTGTGGGGGTCTTATCCTTTGGAGTTTGGGGCTGTGGGCTTCTCTCTTTTACAGATAGGAGCCCAGTGGGCTGGGAAGGAGGTGGCTCATCTTGTGGGAGATTGTTCTCTTTGAGGCAGGAAGCCGGGTACCCCTTCCTCAGTAATGGTCTTCTTCCCTCTCCCTGGCTAGAGGTAGAGAAATCTCATCATGCGGAGGGGGTCTTACTATTTGAAACTGGGGGCTGGGAGCACTCACCTTATCCTCTGGATCTAATGTCTTCCCAGGGAAGCTGGAATGTCCCCACCTTTTGGGGTAGGGGTTTGAGGTTTCACTTTAGGGGGAGGATTTCATCAGGATTAGGATATAGGGGTCTCACCTTTTCTCCCTGGCTAGGCCTTAACTCTCTGGTGTGAGGGCTGTGGGTCTGAAATCTCACTCTGTAGCCAGGATTTTTTTTCTGTTTCCCCAGATGATGTGTGGAGAGGGATTCTCATCTCCTGAGGTTGAGTTTTATTTCACATTTTGAGGGGCGTTTCATCTGGGTTGGAACTGGAGCATCAGTTACTCTCCTCAGCTGGGACTTGGGAGTCCATTGTCACTTGGATTGGGGCATGGAGGGTCTCACGCCCACACACCCTTGGAAGCCTCTCACTCTTGGGGCCTGGTGGCTGGCTGGATGGGCTGAGGAGTGTGGGCTTTACTTTTGGGGGAAATTTTCATAGAGTCTGAGTCAGGAATCCTACCCTCTCTCCTTGGCTGGGAGATTGTGATGGTTTCTCCCTCTGAGGCAAGGGAGCTGAGGACCTCATCCCTTTGGGCAGGTCTCACCCCCTGGGACTTGAGGGGTTAGGCACCTCATCCTGGAGGGTTCCTCATTTTTTTGGTGCCTCTATTCACGGGAGTTGGGGCCTGCGAGGTGTTCTCTGCATAGGTCAGGTTTTTTTCCCAGGCTGAACATCTAGGAGCAGAGGCCTCAGTCTTTGTAACCAGGCTGGGGTGGGGGTAGGGGCCCCACCTTCTCAGATTTGGGCCGGTAGCCCCGCAGCTTGACGCTCTGCTGGTTGATGAGCAGGCCCTTGCGCACTTCGCTGAGCCGGTGGTTGGTGGCCTCGCGTTGTCTCTGCAGGAGCCGCACCTGCCCATTGATATGCTGCTGTGCGCGGCCGAGGCGGGCGGCGGTGAGGCGCACCCCGCGCGCGTGCGCGTTCACCACCTCGGCCGTCTGCAGGGCGCGCGCGTCGCGGTGCAAGGGCAGCGGCAGGCGGGCGTGCCAGGCGGGCGGCTTCATCTTGCTCTTCCACAGGGTGACGCCCTCGCCAGGCGGCGGCTTCTCCACGGTGCTGCCCCCTTTGAGCATCTCCACGCGGAAGCGCCAGGGCTGGATGTAGGCGGCGCGGCAGAGGTGGTGCGCCACGTTGGGGTCCCGCACACTGTCCTTGGGTTGCCACATGGTCACCGCCTCCTGCCCGCAGCGGTCGGTCAGATGGTGCGCCTTCCTCGTCATGGCCAGTGCCACCTCGCGCCATGCTGGGGCTCCGACGCGTGTGTCCTGGCTGCGCTCAGCGGGCGGTGCCAACACGGGCATAGGCCCTTGTTTGGTGCCCGGCCTAGCCCGGGACACCTTCCCCACCAAAAAAAAAAAAAGACACACAGCTCTTTGCTGGCTTATAGAATGAGTGGACTGAGAGCACCCATCACCATGGCGACGGTGGCACCAACCAAGGCGGAATTCCAGAGGCGGAAGAGGAGAAAGGCTGGGGGAGGGGCAGGGTGGAGTATTTGGAGACTGGCGGAAGAGGTGTTCTGGAATGCCGACTCCTGGAGGAAGACCTCCTCTAGGCTCCTCTTGGCTTTTTATCCTCCGGCAGCATGGCCCCACTTCCGGCTGTTAGGACATCCTGAGCTCTTTCCCACTTCAAAGTTTTGGTCTTGCTCGTTCCTCTGCACGGAATCCTCCTTACACGTCCTTTCCATGGCTGACTCATTTTGATCTTCAGGTTTTTGCCTGGCTGGGTTCTTGGTGTTGAAGAAAATCTCGCCTCTTAGACAAGTGTTCCTTGACTACTTAAAAGTAGCTCTACTGCTCTTACATTTTCTGTTTTTAAAATTTTCTTTCTCTTTAAGTCCGTGGGGTACAAGTCAGGATTGGGTACATGAGTGGTCTACGTACAGGTGAAGTCTGGCCTCTCATTGGACCTCACTTGCTTGGATTGGGATTATGCACCCTTATTGGTGCTGTGTCATCCCCTCCCCTCCGCCCCAGTGTCTGGCTACTGCCAATCCCTTTCTTGTAGCATTATGATAGATGTTCAGGGTCCACTTATGAGTGAGAACATGTGGTACTCAGTTCTTTGTTTCACAGATGGATCACCAAGTATTATAGACACTAAATCCATCCAAGTTGCTGCAAAGCTCATAATTTTGTCCTTCTTTATGGCTGCATATTATTCCATTGTGTGTATGTACCACATTTAAAAAAAATCCAGTCTACTTTTGATTTTCTAACCTACAGCCAGTGTCATCTTAAACAGAGAAAAGCTGGATGTATTCCCCCTCAGGGAATAATGGCAAGGATGCCCACTTTTACCACTTCTAGTCAACATAGTACTGGAGGTCCTAGCCAAAGCAATAGGCAAGAGAAAGAAATAAAGGATATTCCAATCGGAAAAGAAGAAATCAAACTATCTCTATATGCCGATGATAAGATCTTATAAGGGAATCCTAAAGACTCCTCCAAAAGACTCCTGGACTTGATCAATGAATTCGGTCAAGTTTCAGGATATAAAATCAACAACACAAATCACTAGCACTGCTATGCACCAAGAGTGACCAAGCTGAGAATCAAATCAAGAACTCAATTCCATTTATACTAGCTGCCCAAAGCTAAAATATCTACTAGTCTTACATTTTCTTAAGGGTCTTCATAGCACTCACCATTATCTGAAAGTATCTTATCAATGTTTTTGTTTACTTTTAAATTTTATGGCACCTCTCACCTGCCCTAGAAAAATCTAAGAGTCCTGAGAGCAGGCATTGTGTTAGTTTTGTATCCTCAGTGCCTAGTACAGTTCTTGGCCCATTAGGGTCCTCAGTCCATGTGGGATGAAGAAATGGGTGACATCAATCATGCACTATGATAATTTTATTCATTTTTATGTTGAGATGAAATTCTCATAAATAAACTGAACATTTTAAAAGCTGTCCAGTTTATGTCAGGTGTGGTGGCTCATGCCTTTAATCCAAGCATTTGGGGAGGTGGAAGCCAGAGGATTGCCTGAGCCCAGGGGTTTGAGACCAGCCTTGGAAGCTTGGTGAGACCTCATCTCTACAATAAATGATAATAAAAAATTAGTGGAGGTGGTGATACACATCTGTGGTTTCAGCTACTTGGAAGGCTGAGACTGAGGATCACCTGAGCCCAGCAGGCTGAGGCTGCAGTAGCTGTGATTGTGCCACTGCACTCCATCCTGGGCAACAGAGTGAGATTCTGACTGAAAAATAACAACAACAATAACAAAAAGGTGTACAGCTCAGAGGCATTTAGTAAAGCATTCTCAGTATTGTGCACCCAGCATTTATCTCTAGTTCTAAAACATTTCCATCACCCCTAAATAAAACCTCATCCCCTTTAGAAGTCACTCCCTCCCATTCCCTTGTCCCCTCAGCTCCTGGTCACCACAGTCTGCTTTCTGTCTCTGTGGATTTGCCTGTTCATATAAATGGAATCACATACTAGGTGACTTTTTGCGCCTGGTTTCTTTGACTCAGCATCATGTTTTCAAAGTTTGTCCATGTTGTATGTAGCATGTGTCAGTGTTTCATTCCTTTTTGTAGCCAAATAATATTCCATTGTTTTTATATACCATAACTTTGTTTATCCATCCAACCAGTGATGGACATTAATTTGTTTTTTCACCTGTCTCCAGACTATGATATTCATGAGGACATTGACCTTGCCTCTTTTGTAGACCATTGTATACCACTACCTAGTCAGGCAGGTTATTTTGTGAAGTTTAGACATAGATAAGTTTCTTGTAGAAAGTTTACATTGAAATAGAGTGGCTGGGTTCGGTGGCTCAGCCTGTAATCCCAGCACTTTGGGAGGCCGAGGTGAGTGGATTGCCTGAGCCTGTGGGTTCAAGACCCGCCTGGGC